ATGGCATCTATGTGTGAAGGGGAACAAAAATTGTGAATTTCATGGTCCCTGCCCCCCTGGGGCCTGAGGGGTGGGGCTAAAACCACCAAAAATAATGCAATCTTTAAAAATCTTCTTCTTTACTCCTGGACATCAAGCAGTCAAACTGTTGGCATCATTGTTACAAGCATTAAGCCCTCTACCAAATTTGTGAAATTCATGGCCCCAGGATCAGGGGTTCTGGCCCCAGGGTGGGGCTATATACATCATATAGTGAAAATGCATTATTTCTTTGAAAATCTTCTTCTCTGCTCCTGGGTATTAAATAAAGTAACTAAGTACATAGTTATGAAGAGCAAGAGTGCCTCTTCCAAAATTGTGAAATTCATGGCCCCAGGGTCAGGGGTTCTGGTGTTAGGGCGGGGCTCTATTGGTTATGTAGTGAAAATGCATTAATACTTTGAGAATCTTCTTCTCTACTCCTGGGTATTAAATAAAGTAACTAAGTACATAGTTATGATGAGCAAGAATGCCTCTTCCAAAATTGTGAAATTCATGGCCCCAGGGTCAGGGGTTCTGGCCCCAGGGTGGGGCTATATAGATCATATAGTGAAAGTGCATTATTTCTTTGAAAATCTTCTTCTCTGCTCCTGGGTATTAAATAAAGTAACTAAATACATAGTTATGTATAGTGCCTCTTCCAAAAATGTGAAATTCATGACCCCAGGGTCAGGGGTTCTGGTGTTAGGGTGGGGCTCTATTGATTATATAGTGAAAATGCATTAATTCTTTGAAAATCTTCTTCTGTGCTCCTGGGTATTAAATAAAGTAACTAAGTATATAGTTATGATGAGCAAGAATGCCTCTTCCAAAATTGTGAAATTCATGGCCCCAGGGTAATGGAAAGGTCAATAGAATAAGATAATTATGCAAGAATGTTTATCATATGATTCAAAAAGTATTTTCTTAGTTTTAATAAACAGGTAGACCTGTAAGTAATAGATAAATAAAAATGAGACAAAAATAACTTATCTTATTAAAAGTTCTTCAAAGTCCATAAGAGAGGTCAATGCTAGAGGTCTTAATATGGGTTTAAAAATAGTGCAGAAGCACTAATAGTTTCTTAATAGTCTGCATGGTGATAGTGTTAAGTGGGGGACAGATTAGAACTTAATTTATGAGTTGATACTGAATACTAGACTAATTATTTTGTTGATCCTGATCTTCCTACTTCTCTTGCTTTAGGGCAACAAAGCTTCATCTATCAGTGTATTTAACTTCTAAATTGTTGTATTATACACAGGTGACCGTTAAGGCCCTTGGGCCTTTTGTTTTAAAAACCTAACCTTGTAACGTACATTATTAATAAATGTAATACTGAAAAAAGGTGGAAAAACAGACTGAATCAGGAAGGGGTGTCCCATTTACTAGGTGGAGGGAGTTTGTCTATGATTGGACTAGTCCACTTATGGGATTAATAGTAAGAATAATCAGCAAATCCATTGCTTTAGTGTTTCCTGCCCATATACAATGTGTTCTTTTAAAAAAATGAGATAAAATTTACTGTTAATAAAAAATTTGAAGCTTAAGAATCAGGTTAAAAGAATATTTCCATAGAAGTTATCAGACCCATTCAATAGAACAATCCAAGAAAAAGGCGCGAAGAAAATTTATATGTGACATTTGGAGCGATATGATTGTGTCACCCCTTTCGTAGAAGGCAAGTGGACTGATCCAGTAGTTTAGAAACACAGAAAAAATGTTACACGGACATGTCCGTAGAAAGAAGCGGAAAAAAAAACTGAAGGAATTAAACACATCATTATTTTGCATCAGTAATATGATTCTTTCTTCTGCAAAACTGTATTGTTAAATGCAGGTAACAAATTCCAATGTAAATCAGCTTGCACAAAATCTAGTTCATTAAGAATGATCGCTTAGTTTCGGATCATGGAAAAATTAATCCTTATACTGCCTGACGCACGTGGCGTCAGGCAATCACAGATGTATATATATTTGAGTTTTAACATATTTATGAAATATTCATACATGAATAATGAATAAATTATACATTTGAATATTATAATAATTACACCCCTGCAAACAAAGTTAAGGGGTATATAGGAATCACCTCGTCCGTCTCTCCGTCCGTCTGTTTGTCTGTCTGTGCAAAGATGTCCGGTTCATATCTTTCTTACGGAGGAACATTAGAATCTACTACTTCACACATGATTGTTCATGACCTGAGGGTGTGTCATAGTCTGACCCAAGGTCTTTTGGGCAAGTTCAAGACCACTGAAAGAAAAAAAATTATAGTTAGTGTCCGGTCATATGGATCTTAAGGGAAAACTTGGTGAGTTCCCATTTTACACAGAGATTGCCTATGACTTGAGGGTGTGTCATGATCTTGATCTATAGTCATTGTAGAAAAAATGGATAAATAATCCATCCGTACTTTCTAATAGAGAAATACTTGAAAAATTTTTTGCTTCAAATTTTCACTTGATATCATTATTTTTGTGACACATTTAAATATTGTAAAACTGTGTAAATAGAAGAATACTAAAATTTATAATTATTTATTATTTTTGGGGGAAACGTAGGAACCGTTGTCAAACTGGTGGGGTCCATTTTCATCGGGCTCAAAATTCATAGTTGTAAGTCTGTTTTAATCGGGGTCGAAATTGATAAAAATATTGTCGTCTGCGGATCCGAAGTGTACAACTGAAAATTCATATTTTCATAGCGGGGGTATCATTTGTGAGCTATCTCACAGTACCTTTAGTTAATTCAGCATTAAACTATTACTTTTTCATATGGGTCTACAAGTTGCTGTCCTTTAAAAAAGGACTGCAATAGTCTTTCATAGCAAAGTTTTTAAATTTTATTCCCGATTGGCCTATAATTTTGTCATTTAAAAAAATCGGGCTATTTCGATACATGTTTTTTTTATTTTTGCGAACCTTGATGCACAAAACTAATGCCGTTAAATCTTTTGAAACCTAGTAGTTGAATTCAACATGTTCAAGCTGTTAAGCTATCTATATAAGTTTTTCCTATTTATTTAAAATCTGCACTAGATTTATACGGAAGATATCCTATCATTGGAAAGATAGATGGTACACATGTAGCACAGATCTGTAGTATGCAGATTTTTTTTTAATGTTTCTCCCTCTCCCCCTCATGGAAAAACGTTGCTACAGGTCTCTATCAAGCTATATTTGGATTGCTGTCAATCAAATTATTTTGCGAACCTTGATGCACAAAACTAATGCCGTTAAATCTTTTGAAACCTAGTAGTTGAATTCAACATGTTCAAGCTGTTAAGCTATCTATATAAGTTTTTCCTACTTATTTAAAATGCTTGTACCATATAATTTAGTTTGTATATAAGGATATATGTATTAAAGAGAAATTCAGATCTTGGTTACGCCAAAGAATAAATAAATACGATGTGGAGATTTTAGAGCGAGGTTTGCCAATGATTGGCATATTCCAATTCGAAAAGGGCGAATTATTCTAATGGCAAGTTGTCTAAGAGGCGAACTCTTTAGCATTCTCGCGCATGCGTAGCCTGACGTAAGCCCATGGCTTTAACCCCACTTATATATTTTCTGCGTGGACCTCAGGGTCCACGCAATAAGTCAAGATAAATACACACAGTTAATGCAAAGGGCATCATTTGTAATTAAGATGAAGTATAATTTTTTAGTTATATAAAACATATACAAAAAAAAAAAAAAAAAAAAAAAAAAAAAAAAAAAAAAACAAACACTAGACATATGTTATATCCAATATTAAACAAATTGGGTTTGCTATAATTTTCAAAGCAATATTTTACACATTTTATTAAAATGTAAAAATATTTGAACACCTATTTTCATCCATTCTTCAAACTTTACGTCTCTGTGTTCATCTTTTTATTTCATTATTTTCAATTACATCGGTTCATGATTAAAAGAAATTGATAAAAGAAAACATCTCATATATTGCCTGATTAATATTAGAATTTTATTTCCCAAACACTTTATTTTATAGGTGCAAAAAGATCAAACAGTACTTTGCTTTCATCAATTTTGAGCATTTTTCTTTAATAGATATTGCTAAACCTATTTTGCCTAAAATATTAAAATATCTATTGTCATGACTTAATCTGGTAAAATAAAGTAAAAATTTCAATGTTATTGTTAAAAAAAATTGTACCATTGCTCAGTAAGATTCACAGTGACACACCCCTCCACTTTTTGTGGCAATTTTTTCGACAATTGCGAGTAGTGCTATTGTTGCATGAGTAGATATCTAACATATAATTGTCAAAAGAGCCTTGATGTTACCATTGTAAGGAGTGAAATATTTTAACTGAAAGGCAATAATTTGAATTACTTCAAAAAAAAAAAAAAAAAAAAAAAAAAAAAAAAAAAAAGAAAAACAGGAAAACGGGTCAGGAACCCCCATCCCCACGAGATGTTTCTTTGAGAACTTGTTAGTCCCCCTTCGTAAAAGTTGTCGTACACCACCTATTAATGAAAAGGTTATTTATTATCATAGTTCTAACTAATTCAAAATATTCCAGAAAAGTTTGCTATTTAGTTTAATTATACCTCTATTAGCAAGATAGTTTATTATTTGACTACTTGAGTTGGCTAAGTTTATAATTTTAAGTCGAAAGAGTCTTGGTTATGTCTCTTCATTATACTAAGTTAATGTAAATATGATACCCATTACATTACATTGTTTAATGCATCATTAAAATGCTCTGTATGGTTGACTGTGCAAATTCTTCTAGATTCATTTAAAATATACACATTTTTCTAGAGAGTATATTAACTTAAATACATTTTAGTCAGTATAGTGATTCAATCCTAAATCATACTTAAGAACTTTTGTAACGTTAATATTGCTGTATATTTCTAAGACAACTAAAATCAAGCCGAGAAAAAAAAGGCAAATGTCTCAAATTATGTTGTGTAATCGAATAGGAACACTTTCTGCATTACCATCATTTTACTTTTATGCTGTAGATAAGTTCTCCACACTGACTGATGACGAGGTGTCCGTGTTATTCTGTTTTCTGTGTTCTGACTCCGGTCCTCCTGACTTCACTGACACAGAGTGGCTGGACATGCTTAATGAGATACTGCAGTTAGTGTACCGTAAAGAGAATCCTGTAACAAGTGAGGAAGCACAGCAGACGCTGGACAGACTGAAGTCACGTGAATACCTTTTGGAAGATCAGGACAAGATAACGGAGGACACAAAGGATGAGACAATGTATAGAATAGCATCAATAAACCGTGATATACCATTCTATTACAGTAGTTATGACACAGCCAGTGTTTACCTGAGATCACAGTGGTACAACAGAAAACCTGGAGAGAAGTGTGTCATTAGTGCTGGCAGTGACGATGATTCCTTACTTATACGCCGTCTACAGGTGAACATACTGACTCACGTCACCATGGAGGACACAAGTATATATGATAAGATACACCAGATATGTAAGTCAATGTAAAGAATTTATCATATAGATTACACTATGTAAGTGAATAGATTAAACAGCTGTTAATATATAAATAATTTATGTCTTTATACGTATTAAATAAACTAGTACAATGTTTCTAATATATTTTGGAATGGTAATTATAAACATGTGTAACAATATCTGAATTTTTAGATTCTTATGTGAAAAGTTGTCGACAAGTAGTTCTTATAAATACACAGTTGAATCTGAATGATATGTAAGGAAGTGTAAAGAAATATTATTCTCAAATGTCAGAAAAAGCTTTAAGCGAATGATTGAATTCTGAACATTGATATATATATATATATATATATATATATATATATATATATATATATATATATATATATATATATATATATATATATGAATAAGATAGGGTATGCAGTACTCTAAATATTTCAGGAAATGATTCCTTAGATATTGACTATTTTATTTACTTCATGGGGCTTGTTTACAATGACTGATGCCACAAACTGAAGAAAGATTTACATGTAAAAGTCACAGGTACTTGTGCACAGGACCCCTCTCCCCAAAACCCCACACCACCACCCCGAGGGGTGATATTCAACCATGGGGCTTGTTATACTTTTTTAAAAAAAATATATTGATTACAGTTATTTATAATGTGTACCATAGGAATAAATCGGTAAAACCCCAAAATAATCGTTCCTCACAAAAAACAACCCACTATACATTATAAGAGAGAAAGGTTCTCTCTTATAATGTATAGTGCGGTATTTTTTGTGTGGAGCGATTTTTTTGTTTGTTTGTGTGGTTTTCTCGATTTTTTCATATGTACAGATGATAAATGAATGTAATAGGCCTAAATATAATTTGTGGAAAAAATGTCCAATAAGCCCAGAGGTGGAATATGGGGGGTGGGGGGTTCCTGTCTACAAGTACCTGGGGTAAAAGTATTATGAAATAAAAAATGAAAAAAAGTTGAAGATTATGAACAGTCACTGTGATCTATCTCTAAAAAATACCTAAAAACAATACAAATCTATAAACAGGGCATAAAACACGGACAATGATTAGATGTTTAGGTATATCTATATATTTTGAATTTTATTTTGGTTGAAATAACAAATTTAACACGTTGACAATATTTGTCTTCTCATACAGTGAATATACCAGAAAATAAAGTAAAGAGCAGCAAAGATGAAAGAAAAGAATTTCTAATGGATCTAAGAAGAGAAGGGGAGGCTGCACATTACAGAGGAAGATCACAGGACAGTGTAGATCTCGTGACATGGCTCTGGAGACACGAGGTTTTCCATATAAGACCTGACATCGTGAGATCCTGTGTAGGCCTTCATCCACACTGGGGCATTTACATCATCGACAACAAAGCTTACAGAAAACCAAGTATGTAGTCATTTAGGTACAAAGATTCCCTGAAACAAATATTCAACGTACTTATACATCTGTTCCTTAAATCGGATACGGTTTATTGTTTGTCTGTCGGTCTTTCTTGTGGATTTTTTTCCCCATAAACTTTGCTTACAAAGTTTTAAAACTTTATTTAAATGTATCTGGGTTTTCCCCTCCAGACTGTATTCTCATCATTGTTCCTTGCAGTAGTCATCTGGGAGTATTAGGGAAGGGGTATCTGGGGAAAAAGTTGTTTTTTTTTTTTTTTTTTTTTTTTTTTTTTTTTTTTTAAATCTTAACCAATAAAGGACTTTATTGAAGAGTTGATTTTGTAGTAAAAAGTATTTGTACCCTGACGTTTAAAATTTATATTCAGTTATATCTTATATTTACATTTAAGACGTTCTGGTGACAAGTTTCTGCACAGTTATATAATTTAACTCATGATATACAGTGATATACCCTCCGCATATTTTAAGAGAAAAACATTTGCAGATATAAATATTGCTAAATGAAATGATAAATACCATATACCTAAAAGTAATTTATTATGATAATTATAGGGGTAAGTAAATAACTTATGAATACAGGTTATAAAAATGAAAAATAAAAGAGGTACTCTTTATTACGGTGGAGGGGGGGGGGGGTAATTACAAGTACAGATTAAATCTTGATAATTATTTACATAAGGAAGAAATGTTATGAAAGCCGCCAAATCCACCCCTTTTAGTGAATTCACTGGAATTTTATTGCTTGTAATTTTCATGCTTTTCAGTTGAACTTTATCTTGATGTAACGTTAATCGGATATACTGATATAGTCACGCGCGTGGCGCACTGGTTAGAGTGTCTGCTATAGAGTCGCGGGTTCAAATCCACTGCGGGACATGGAGACCGGTCTTTCGGATGAGACCATATAAACCAAGGTCCCGTGTCTTAGTAGGTGTTGGTACGAAAAAAAAAAACCCTCTCTGCTCAATGGCCCTGCGTGCCGGGTAAAGGTATAAATGTGCAGCTCTCCACCTGCAAGTGGTGGCGTCTCCATATCGAGAGGGACTTAAAACAACAAACAAACAAACGAATTTAACAAACAAAACATTTACTTATATAATATCTGAAGCGACTGCATCAGAGTTCATGTTTACATTTTCAATGCTAAAATAGATATGAGATTGTGCCCGTAATCTATATAAAATGAAGATTTCACTCGAATACCAATTATCGTACATTTCATTAAAAGTTTACTTTTTTGTTTTGTTTGTTTGTTTGCTTGTTTTTTTTTTTATTTGGGGGGGGGGGGAATAAACAGCCTAGGAATAATCAAGTATTTCAGTGGCGGAACCAGAAATTTCAGAATGGGGGGGGGCAACTCTTGCCTCTTCCCCCCCCCAACACTCACACACACAACACCATCAGCAGGTATACGGTGAATCACTTTTGGATGTCATGCAAGAATAGAAGGGCTGGGGTTATAGATGGGAATTTAGAACGTACATATGTTTTATTTTATGGTGTTAACGACTTGTAATTCTTTTTAGAATTGATTACTGCATATAATTAAAAAAAATATAAAGATCACCTCAAAACTATATTGATAAACGTCTCGCTTGTTGAGAATTATCTAATTCATCACTGACCCCCCCCCCCCCCAAACAAATTACATGCATGTAGATATGATAGACCGAAAAGCATGCTGACGTATCATATTGACTATTTATTTCCCTCTTAACTGTGCGTGGCTCAGACAATAGTGTTGATCTTAGAAAAATCAGATTTCCAAATATTACAAATTCCAGTCGTGCATTTCATCAAGATACTAAATACTTTGTTGTAATGATTTAGAGATGTGTAGCCTTAAGTGTAAAACATAGTATCTAGGCACGTAAAATGGCACTTGAAATGAAACAAATTTTTTTTTTTTTTTACAAAAGTTTAGAATAAAAAATCAGACTGGAGAGCAGGCGCTTGTCACTCCGGCGCTGGATCCGCCTTTGTATTGTATTAACATTATGACATCTTAGAAGGGTACACATTCATAATATCAATGTGAAAAAGACTATGTAAAAGACCACCTTGGCCTCAACATCGCTGACACGCCATTCCGGGGGTGAGGGGTTGTTGTTCATGCTTCCAATTTGGGAATTTTAATCCGTATTAAACTGCTCCCAGTTTGGTGTTGAATCCAACAGACTAGTCCTTTGCCATTTAATGTGCAATGACGTTTCCTGTGGGCATCTTCCGTCTTTTCTTTGTGTTGTGTTTTTGTTTTAAAAACTAAGTTATTCAAGCTTGCTATTGTTTTCTGTAAAACAAACTTTGATTGTGACGCATTTTTTTCTTTTAAAAATGATGTAATTTTTAAATTCCGCAAAAATAAATTGAATTACAATTATATATACAAAGAATGATGAATTATTGCGTTTTACTTTGATAAGCAGAATTAGTTTAAACCCTTGCATTTTCCAACATAATGAAAACTCTTAATTTTATTATTAATCCACCCTTTATTTTCAATTATATAGGAGAAAAATATTTGACAGACCACACAAGCTTTACTGTATTTTACAATGTATACTGCTTAAGATATTTTTTGATTGTTTGTAGTTTAATACTGTACACGCGGTACACTTTCTACGTCCAATCCTATTGTGACGTCAGCAAACCCGCGATCTACCTTAAGTCGCAAGGAAATAAAACTTTAGTACTCATGCATTTATTCTGCGCCATACATTGAGTCAATCTTGTAACTGACTTTTTCTTATTATTAGGATTTAGTAATCAGGGACGTAGTGTTGTTTGTGAGAAATGGGGAGGGAACCAGAAAAAAAAATTACCTGAGAAAACTTTCGACAAGAAAGAAAAAAGTAAAACTCACTTGGAAATACTTTGCCGTGGAGGAAAATGGGGGGAGGGGGTTTAACCTATTTTTTCAAATACAGTACCATTTATTTATGATTAAACTTTGATACAGCAATATGTTGTGGGGGGGTGGGGGCAGCCTTTCAATAAATATTTTTAATAGTAAAATGTTACGTTTTGAAAAAGTAGGGGCAAATTAAACATAACATTATGAGGCAGCAACGCCTATATAGTATTATTAAAATAAAATGAATGACGTACGGTATATATTACCTAGATACATGTAGTTATAGCAGAGGAAAAGGGTTTGATGTTTTCTTTTATTTAATTTGCATGTTTTATTCATTAAAATGGAGTTCAAAAAAGTTTTGATTTACATATATTAGGAAAACTTTATAAAGTTTACGTCGTCGCTTGCTGTAAAATTATACACGTAAATTATACCTTTTGGCAAATATGTTTCATTTGAGGCATTGTTACTGTGCATGCAGTTGGAACCTTGCTAATAATTAATTTTAAAAAGTTTGAAATAAAGGGTAATCAACATTTCTTATTACACTATCTCTTTTATTTTTCTTTCTCCTTTCACTCCTGAGAAAATAAAAATTTTCTTGACTATTGATAAACAAAGAACAAGCAATATTTTATAGGATTGTTGTGTTTGATACAAATCTCATTTTTATTCAATATAACACAAATCAGTATACAAATTTTACAAAATAAACAATGGATGGCTGGGCGT